AACAGTCATAGACCGAATTATTTTAAATATTTGGGCTGGGCATCAGCTCGCAGATGCAATCGTGGCCGCATAATACTCTGCCATTTCATAGGATCTCATAAATGTCCTATAAGATGTTCTTGTGGCTTCATCGCAGGCACACCGCTACTGTCTCCCTAGCCATCTTAGCCTTTGCTTCATCAGCCCGAAATCCTGGGTAAACCAAGGAACCAGCCTTGAGTGAGGGCGCAGGGGGCATCGAGGAGCGATCTCATTGATGGCTGCCAAGAGCCAGCTGTGCCAATCCTCCACAAGCTCATCTAACGAGTCTCCAGGAGGCCATTTGAAGCCACATAGGGTCCATTTGGCTCCATGGGCAAGCTGAAATATGTTCGCCGCTGAACAGGGTTGGGGTGAAACATTCAGATGGGCCTTCAGGGCATGATGGTCCGACCATGGCACTGCTGAAGCAGTGACCCGGTCCACTGTGACCCCTGCTGTGAAGATCAGATCAAGTGTGTGTCCGGCCTGGTGAGTGGGAGTGTGATTATTTTTAAGAGGGAATCTTTTTTGCCTTAAATTTTGTACAATAATGAAAACATTGTCCTCTGTTCTTAAAAAAAATCAATTAAAAGGTGTTCAGTCCTTTTATCTGGGTCACATGGGGCTGGCTATGGGGATGGTGGAGGCCAGATGTCCTAGTTTTACATTTAAAATGTTAGCTTATCAGTAGGCTGACATTAAATTGTTCTGTAATTTGTCAGGTTTTTTCAGTATTTGGTCTGTTTTTTTGGAATTTTGGTCAGTAAAATCAGTATTTTTGACCCTCCGACTAGTTTCCACCCCTGAAAGCACCTTATATCTCCGAGGGATCAGGACAAGAACAACCTTTCCCAATCACATAGAAAGAGAGGTTAAGACAGCAAAAGAGCAAAGGATTGAGAGTGCAGAATTCTGTCCTTCCCCCACCTCCGGGCATTACTTACCTCACTAAAGCTGCATTCTACACCGTAGCTGCATTTTCTCCTTAGCCACCAATATTGGAAGTACCTGGCTGAACAAAAAATGCATGAGAAAAGAGGCTGAAGGGAAGGAAACAGAGAGCACAAGGAGGGTTCACTGACACACCTTTTCGCCGTAAGAATCCAACCCTCATTCTGAAACATACAGAACTGCATGTCAAGTTTATCCTTTGAATTAGACTGAACATTTTTAGCAAGTAGAAAGACAAAGCTAAATTTTTGAATACCTTTAAAGTTTGCCCTGTGGCCCAGATATTTTATTTTCTGTCTGTAAGGTCCTATCTACAGCTAGATGTAGTCCAAGACAGGAAATGTAAGGCAAAAGGTATGATTAACAGAAAACAAATCAGCACATTGTGTGGAAAAAGAGAATGTCAGTTTTACATTGTAAATATTCATTAGCTAAAATGACATTTTAGAATCAGGACTTCACTGTAATTAGATCATTGTTCATTGATAGACAAGAAAAATGTAATCCTTAAGAAACTCGTTACCCAAAATTTCACCTTGAAAATGGTAATTAATCATCTGACATTATAAAGTAGTAGGATCATACTAGAACAGCTTTTGTGGCTGTAAAGCCTCTTATGGTAAAGAAAGAGCAAGAATTTTTTGCTTTGTTGTTTCCAGTTTGATTGTGGGGGGAAAATCTCCTTTTAATGTTCACATATTTTCATTATGCCAGTGACTTCACTTTTATACAATTATGCAATCAGGAATATTTAGCTTTATTTTAAAAACTGTGGTAGCTTTTTTGAAACTACCATCTAGACCAATGAATGAGAAATACCATTCTTTCATTAACAGCCTTTTTTACAGTAGTTTCTTTACCAAGGATAAAAGTGTGTTATGATTAGGGATGTTCAAAAACCTGCCTGTTTGGCTCACATCCTGTTCACAGGTGGCAAACAGTGAGTCAGTTTTATTATCAGTTTGACTGTTGACTTGTTTGTGGCAGTTCAGCCTGTTGCTTCACTGTATTCCTTCATAACAGTGCATTATACTACAGCTGGCATTTCTTGCACTGTAGCTGCCATTTTCCTAGCCATACCACTTGAGACTTAGGAGAAAGGTATGGTTCACATTTCCACTTGCAACTCTGCAAGTAAAACGGCTGCAGGCTTATGTTTTAAAACGAAAGCTAGGAATTCAGTGGCAGTAATGTGGCAGTAAACCATTAGAATGTTAGTGAGCATGTTTGTAATGATAACTACTGATTTTTTTAAAGCCCTCTAGTGGCACAGCAGGGAGAAATGCAGGAAATATTGTAGCACCCTGGCTTGGATACAGCCATAAACAGTAAAATCAGCTACAAATGGTATAGATCAGTCATAAGTATTGTGTCTTTAAAATATCATATAGTTTAGTGTTAATCTAAGCAATCCTTAGTAATATTAATGGCTGCTGCTCAGTTTGGATAGGTGCATACTCAGTTTTGAAAAAACCCAATGCAAACCTATTTGGCAGTTTTCATGGCTATCCAGCATGAACCAAACACATGAAGTGATCAGCTCACATCAGATTGATGCTACCAAAATGGCAAGTTCAACTGTCAAACACTAGTTCCCGCATTTTCCTAGAATACCGTAGCTCCAAACCAGCAGAACATGCATCAAGTAGTGGGGCCATGAGTATCAGGAAGACTTTGCCATCTAGGCTGAGCTTTGTCAGTACTCAGCTTTGCCTACTGATGCCTTTTAAAGGAGATGCTGCCTTTTGTCTGGGTAGCAGTGAACAGTTCCAGGGGCTAGTGCTTGCCTGGGTTGGTTTCCTTTGGAGGAGAAAGTACTGAAGACTCATAACATTTCTGTACTATGCACTTTATTTACAGTAGTTGAGTTAATAAAGGAGTCATAGTATGAAGCAGATCCTTTTTTCTAATTAACTGATGGTGTGCTGCGATGAGATACATGGCTTCTTATTATATAAAATAAATCATAACAGTTCTTGTACTTATATAAAAGATCCTTTATTGTTATAATAAACATGTTTTTATATATTGATGATATTATCTTTTCAAAGGCCCTTTTTTTAACAGTATAGCTTCCTCTGTTGTCATCATGGCTGCAGCCCCTGAGAGAGAGAGAGAACTAGGAGCTTGTGAGAGACACCAGGGTGTGAATGATCCCCTTCCCTCTGAATGGGGGCAAAGGAGCCCAAGACGTGCCCCATCCCCCTTCCTAACCCCATTAAATCACAAATTATCCTTTTATTGCACGCATTTGTCCACATATAATTGGATATGTCACCGTATACTGAGTATACAATGCTTATAAATTATCTGTTGTTTCTTAACTGAGGAATCTCTAATTGTATTTTTGCCCAGAACAGCCATAGTCTAGAGGTGTCTATTAATAGCAATATTTTAGTTCTGTAGTGTATTATAGAAACATCAGTTGATGATGCTTAATCTGTCCCATAGATGTTATAATCTAAAAGGCAGTCAGACCACACCACTGAATACCACAGTGCTACAGATAGTCCCAGGAGGAGAGATAAAATAGATGAGCCACGTCCAGCAGAGTGCAATGAGGGGCAGAGCAGGGCTCCAACAGGTGTGAGTGGCACCTGAGTTCAGACCTGGTTGCCATTTGGCTCTCCCCAGGACAGGCAAGACAACAGTAAGAAAACCTGTCCCTAAAGGACAGAAAACACTTACCTGGCCCCATCTGAGACAGGAGTGCTGCAGCCACTTACCTGACTTGAGATGGAAGAAATGCCCCTGTGAAGGAGTCAAGGTCTGTGTAGCAGAAGGGTGGCCAGTTGCAGGCTCCAAGGGAGGCAGATGAAAAAGATCCCACCTCTTAGCTGCAGAAGTGTTTCCTTGGACATAGAAATATTGACAATAATTTTAAAATTTGCATGTATTTGCTTCTTCCTTTCAGTACCTACATGCCAATGGGATTGTTCACCGTGATTTGAAACCAGAAAATCTACTGTATGCAACACCAGCTCCAGATGCACCTTTAAAAATAGGTAGACCATATTCACCTGTAGTAGCTTCAGTTTGCATACTGGTTGCACTTGCCTCATTAGTCCCATACAAGAGATGTGTGAATCCCACCACCATGTTTATTGGCTTGGCTTGAAAAACATCTGTGTTCCTGAGTTTTTCTGTCTGATGATTTAAAAATCCAGTGATATTTTTCTGATTATTATTATATCTGGGCCTCTGCTTCTGAGCATCCATGGAAATATATTGGGGGGGGGGGGTTATGAGATTTTTTTGTTTTTTATGACTCTTGGATTGAACTGAGAGGCAGAGCAAACAACAATTCCCATCTTTCCTGGCCATCATTTACAGGTAGGGAGGGCTGCCTATTGGTGGGGGGAAACCCCATTTCAAGCCATACCTGAATTTGAAGGAATTTGGGCCTAATTCAAACCTAATAAGGCTTTTGGATGGGGGAGGTGATCCTACAAGCCTCCTGCCCTTCAGATGTCGTCACCATCACTAACTCATCCACTGATTTCATTCCCATTATGCACAGAGCATCCCACAATTTCACAGTGAATAGGACAACCCCTTACTTACAAGCTTTTCAAGGCACAAGAGGACTCTCTGGAATTTGGGCTACACTGCTCCCTGTCACTATACAGTTATCGCCATCCCACACATTCTGTGACAGTGTCTGCTGTAGTCTGTATCCTTTATCTATGTTGTTAAGTGGTCTGTTTTGGAAATGACCAGTAGATGGATACATACATTATATTGCACCAGCAGCTGGGCAAAAATTAATAATCATCTATATAGCTTAATTTTTTTAACTTAAACATTCTATAGCAGGAGTGAACGAATGCATAGCAGAAAGATAAGACATAACACCATTGCAAATGCAGTATAGTAATATTGATTTGATTTATAGTTCATCCCAAAGGCATCCATTTCACTATTAATGTTTGAAAGAAAACAGCAGGATTAGGCACTTAAGAATATGGAAATAACACTGTTTTTGCTGGCGCCGTGAAAGAGTGGTATGCACTTGATAGGAGATAATAATGACAGAGGATTCCACATCCCAGTCCACTGCGAACATTTAATGAGTTCCTTTTAGAGAAGAAAATAGGAAGCCCATTGTGCTATAGTCTGCCATAAGTCTCCCACTTCATCCACATGCTGGATCTGGTATACAGCACATCTGATGTACTGGGATCTAGACTTTCAAAGCTCATGCTTCAGAAATGCCATAAGATCCTTTGGTGTGGCTTTTGCTGCAATAGATAATGCCACTGGCAAATTCATGATGTGATAAAAATGTGGGTACTGTGGGGGTATCTTTTTTCTTCCTTGCTGTTTGCCATTTCCTTTCATTTCTGTTTCTTCCCTCTCCTCCCATCTTATTTTCACTGTGGTCTCTGCTCTGCTGTGAACATAAGAGTTTATGATCACTATGATCTCTGCTCAAGATTATCTGTATCAACCACATGTACCTGCTTCACATATGTGAAACATGGTCCTGTTGTGTTCAACAGTTTGTGTACCAGCACATGTTCTCATGCTAAGAAGTACTTTTACTGTCCTCTTGTTTCCATGAACATGACGTTCCTCTTAAGGTACATTGAGTAATATGTGGTTCTTGGTTTCCAGCTGCTTTCCATTCTTTCGCCTTTGAAACGACAACATGAAGCTGGAGTTCATACATAGTGTTGCATATTTACAATAGGATTTTTAATTCACCAAGAAGGATTACTTCTTTGCCCTGTTTTTGATTAGCAGTATAATTTTCCAGAATATAAAATGATCTGATATATTTTATTTCTGCAGTCTGTCACAAGGGGGAAGGACCCTCAATAAAATAATAAAACTTTCTGACTTATATGTTGCAGCTGATTTTGGACTTTCCAAGATTGTTGCAGACCAAGTAACAATGAAAACAGTCTGTGGAACTCCAGGGTACTGTGGTATGTTCTTCATTATGTATAGTATGTTAGGTGTCTATTTGTATTCAGCTACTCACAATGCAAGCATTGTTACACCTTTTAAGCCCATTGTCTCCAATGGGTGTAACTGCACTTAGCATAACATTATTAATGTTTAACTATTTTTATTTTAGATATAGAGGTGATATGTTAAAGACTCTGGCCCCAGTGTGTGGATTCTATGTTGTATTGTGTTTTAATATGGTTACTGTCTGCTGCCTGGTGCACTACAAAAGCAACAGCTAGGAGATTGCTAGAAACCAGGATGGGAAAGTATGTATAAAGCCCAGCTGACACCCACTTTATAACAAAATAACAATATTTAATACATTGCAGATACCTCGAAAACATATGCATACTTGTACATAAACACCTATACATAACCACCAGTTTCCAGGTAAAGACCCATTTCAAACAATTCTTCCTTCAGATATTGTTAACCTGCTTATTTTTTGTGCACCAGATTATCATCATACAAGTATCTGAGTATTTGTCAGTTTGAGAAATGGAAACTTCTAAGAGTCAGCCAGCTGTATGAGAGACAATCTCTTTTTTTAATCTTCATAACAATTTCTTACTATTTATTTTTACAACATATGGTTTAAAACCTCCTGAAGCACCAAGTTGTACATCACAATGAAGATGAACAATGAAAAAATCAATTGCTAACCCAAAGATCTGCTGCCAAAAGTTAAAAAGACTTCCACATTTGAAAAAAGGTGTGTTTTGTCTACTGTCTTGCAAACATACTAATTGTGTCATTCTGGACAATTTTACCCAGTTGCCAAACTTTTTGTATCTGGGCTTTTAAAAAGCATTTTTAAGCATATTTCCAGTTTTTCGCTATTATTATTTTTGCAGTTGTGAGCAAAATTGTATTTCTGTTAAAGACAGTTATATGATATTGCAATACCGCGAGTAGCAAAACCCCTAGGAGTACTTTGGGTTTTATAAACCACCAAAAATCAATTTCAGCTGTAACCTTTTACCCAGAAATGTTTGACATTAGGGCAAGACCACCATATGTGCAATTTTGAATTATTATTATTATTGCCCAAGGTCATCCAGCAGCTGCACGTGGAGGCGTAGGGAATCAACGTCCTTTTCTGCTGGTGGAAAACAGTGATAGAGGGGAACAGATGAATATCCCAGCAGAAAGTCATCTAATTTAAGCACTACGACTGAGAATGCCCTCTCTCAGGTTGCCACGTGTAATTAATTCCAAATAATTTAGAATTTTCAAAAAAAATTATTACCTAGATCTTCTTCATGCAGTTTTAAATGCTTAGTCTGTGGCTATGCTATCAATCTTTTTTATGTCTGTGTTCATATGGACCTGAAGAAGGAAATGTTTGAAATGGATCTTTACTTGGAAATTGCTGTATACATGTTTATTTATAAGTATGCATATGTTTTTATAAGGTTTGTGATGTGTTAAACAGGATTTTAAAAATAAACTGCTTATCAAGTGTGCTTTATATACATTTTTTGGGAGGTAAAGACCCAGTATATGCCACCTTGAATTTCAGAAAGGCGAAATAAAATAATGTGTACAGGTATTTCCGTCTGCTAGGGTTGCCAGGGATTCCTTGGCAACTGGCAGGGGGAGTGGGGGCAGGAAAACTTACCGGAAGCAAAGAGAGGCCTAGGCCAATGTTGCTGGCAATGAAGTGTCTTTGGCAACATGGGGATGCTGTGGTATTAAGGCAAACATTCTATGGTAGAAGTAATTTTTACCATAGAGTTTTTGCCCAAATACCAGACTGTCCTGCAGTGCTGGCAACATGATGACATCACTTCCCATGCACGTTGGCGATGCTGGCCTAAACTCCCTTTGCTGCTGGTAAGTTCCCCCCACTGGCCATCTAATCAGCTGTGGGGGATGGGTTCTGGGGTGAGGGATCTCCCACTACTGGCGAGGCCTGGCAAATCTACTGCCTCCTCAAACAGTTGACCAACAATTTGCTGCTTACCCCACTAGACTGGTGAGCATATTATTAGCCATCTGTTTGGAAGGGGCCATTTACTCACATGTTGGAGGGAAAGGACATACAGATAGTGTCTGGAATCAGTATTTATACCCTTAAAATAAGTTGTCAGTCCTGTTACCTGCTTAAATTTTTTGGGCCATGTAGCAGCTCTCAAATTGCATTGTCACAACCAGATCACAGACAATGTTAATGATCATATAGCTTCATTTTATATGCAAACACTGGACTGTAAAACATTAGAATAATCTATAGCTTAATTTAAGAAAAAAACAGCTGACAGAGCCATTTGTAACAGGTATTGGCTATTTCCCTCCATGTAGTGCGATTGTATGACTTACAAATAATATTTTTAAATAACATATTTTAAAGTGTTTAGCAAATTTTCATACTAGGGTACCTGACATTTTAACAGAAATAAATCTTTTTTTCCAATGCACCACCAGCCTTAGGCTTTTAATTACAGAAGCTCCTCAGATTTCAGTAAACGAAATGACTGAAAATTATATCAAGCAACAAAACTAATGTCTATGCAAACATAGGATTCCAGACAAAAAAGTAAACTCTTGAGGTGTTAGTTGTTTATGAATAATTAAATTCTGGAGATTGTTGTATGTTATCTTGGGCTGGCAGTCAACCACAAAATGAAAATAATAGATTATAAATTTTGTTTGCATAATGTATAGCAGACAAAAACCTGACATCTCAAATGAAGTACTCAGCCAATGTGTAGCGAATACAATTTTTTTTTGATAGGTTGCTTCCACACAGAGGTTTGGTATACAAACTGGAGCAGATTTTTCAAAGTATCCATACAGACAGCATTGTGTTCCAATCATCCACTTCCAAGTTTTCACCTGTTTTCTTCCAGTCTTTCCCAAATGTGGTTTGTACAATATTTTTGGCAAAGTTGTAGTCCAAATGCATTGTCATGCTGTCTGGATGTGAAGGAAGGACCTGTCCGTCCACATCTGTACCATTTTCCTTTTCACAATTCCCCCTTGGCCACCACGTCTACCTCCTAACCCATCCATGCCACCAGAGAACTTTTTTTCAGACTTTTTTTAAAATGGTAATTTCTATATTGATATAGTGTTATAATGCTATAGCAATTACCAATTTTTAAAGCCCTAATAAACCCTCTGGTGGTATGGGGAAAATGGTGGCCACAGGGGGCTGAGGCAAGGAAAGAGCATGGAAAACTGCCGCGTGGACATTCCATTGTCGTTGCAAAAGAACTCTGAAAAATATCAATCCTTAGATCACAGAAGGAAACAAATATTTGCTCCATATATTCTTGTTTGTGTGTAAAAAGTCATGTGTCTTTTTTCAAAAGACCAGCATCTACCTAAAATAAACCTTTTTGGATTACTCTCCTTTAGATCCAGTTGTTTCTGTTTGTTCCTTTCTCCCAAACTTAAGACTGGAGATCTAAATCAACTAGAAGGCAAGCGGGGAAAGGGGAAAAAAGGAAAGGGGGCAGAATAGACTGTCTCTCAGTAGGCAGAAGAGAGGAAGCAGGAACCAAGGTAAAAGAAGCTTAGAGAAAATGAGATTAGAGAACCTAGTGGTAAGGCAAGGGAATAAAGAAATTAGGAGTCTGAAGAATGGAACAGAAAAGGTAGCAAAGAAGCTTCATATGCAGAAAGTTGCAAGTTCAGTCCTGGGCATCTCCATTAACAAGTGGCAGGTACTGAGTGCTGCATTCTTTGCCTAAGATAATGGAGCCACTTCCAGTAACAATAGAAAATGCTGAGCTAGACAGACTAACAGAAAAGGCTGGAGAAAGCCAGGCAAGGAAAATGGGACTGACAATAGCTAATTCACCCAAATGGGGCCCAATGACAGGCCTCATATATTTATTGATGTTAACCATGAATAAGGAAGTCAAAAATTACTTCAAATTCAGTATTTTTTGTTAAGAATAAATCTTATTTCTGTCTGCGTCTCTGTCTGTCTGTCTGTCTTTCTCTCTGCTGAATTTACACAGCAAATTTTTGAAGCGGCTTGTATTTCTAGGTGCCCAAAGCAGCTTTATAGATTTCACTCTTATGGAATAATAAACATCTGAAGAAAACTGTGCAAACAGATTTCAACACAATGACCTTTCAGTAGCTCTGGTATTACATTTATGAACAGAAGGATTTATAAGAACGTATAAAGGGTTTTTTTGTTTTTAGTGAAATAGTAGCTGTAGTTTTTTTCTGTAAAAGTACCTTGAGCATTGGAGCTGCGGTGGCTCAAGTGGTTAAGACGCTGAACTGCAGGCTGTGGAAGGTCAGTAGTTCAGCAGTTCGAGACCCAAGTTGCCACATGATGGAGTGAGCTCCCGTCTTTAGTTCCAGCTCCTGCCAACCTAGCAGTTCGAAAGCAAGAAATTGCAAGTAGATAAATAGGTACCACTTTGGTGGGAAGGTAACAGCGTTCTGTGCACCTTGGTGTTAAGTCATGCCGGCCACATGACCACGGAAACGTCTTCGGACAGCGCTGGCTCTTCGGCTTTGAAACGGAGATGAGCACCGCAAACCTAGAGTCGGACTCGACTGGCTTTCGAGCAAGGGAACCTTTACCTTACCTTGAGCATTAAATTGAAGCTCGGTTGTGCTCGAAGGAAGAACTGAATACCCAAAAGATGAAGCTTACTTGGGCATGCTGTTTCTAGGCATGCTTTAAGTCTGGGAAGTAGATCTCAAACAGAGTAAATACTGTATTCCTATAGTGTGCATGCAGATCATAAAAGATAAGGGATCCAAAGTATACAAGTTCTTCTTACCTCTATACTCCAGAAATTGCATGGTTCTGCAGAGAATCACAAAACACAGAGGTTGGCTAATGATTGGCAATGTTAAAGTAGGTTTTTTAAAAAACAAAGACAAAAAAACAGGAACCCTGGATGGGAAAATCAAAATTCCTGATTGACCATAAGATTCTAAGTTTTTTACTTTCCTCTTGGAGATATTTAGCAATGATATTCATACAGTTGCAATTCTTGCT